CTCCTGTGGAGCGGCTGCTGGTTTCAAACTGCTGCGCTCGGGGTTCGCAGCCAGCGTGTGACCCGCTGCAACCCACGTTCCAAACAGCAGCCCTTGCCTCTCCCCTCCGTGTCTGGCTTTTCTTACCCAGCAGGGCTCACGCAGCCACAGCCCACGTCCGGGCTCCATCTCCCCACCTCCAACCACCCCCGCTGTGTGCGTGTGCCCCCAGCGGCTGTGCCCGCTCCTCTGTCAGCGGGCACTGTGGTGGTTCCCACCCTTGGCTGTTGTGGACAGCGCTGCGGTCACCGTGGGTGTTCCTGCCCGTCTCCCTCCCTGCTTTCCACTCTGTTGGGCGTGGCGAATCTGTGCTGGGCTCCCGGAGGAGCCTTCCACGATGCTCCACATGTGTGGGGGGGGCCCTTTTCCCGCCTCCCCCCCCCAGCAGTGAATGCAGGGCTCTGCCAGCCCCCACCCTTCAAAGACTCAGCATTCTGTTTCCTGGTCGTGGTGTGTCTCTCACCCCGGTGGTGGGATCTTATCTCCTGGTGGTGGTGGTGGTGGTGGGATCTTATCTCAGCACCTCCTGCAGGGGTGCCCACGGGGTCCCACAGGCTCAGCGCAAGGCTGATGCGGGTGAAGAGGACAGACTTGGACCGCAGTCTGGCCTTGGGCCACGATGTGGCCTGCACCCCAGGGACCGTGAGCGTGGCCGGTGTGTGGCTAGGAGCGGGAGACGCCTACTCTGCCCTGCCTTCCTCCCAGGAGGAGTGCTGCTTCTACAACGGCCAGGCCCGCTGGGAGTCATCCCGGCAGACGGTGGGCGCGGCCGGCGGCTTCATGCCCTACGCGGTCTGCGTCGTCTCCCGGTACCCGTACTACAACGCCCTCAAAGACTGCCTCTCCTGGTGAGCACATTGGCTGGGGGTATGGGGGTGGTGGGTGTAGGGGGGCACTCCCTGGTCCAGAGTCGGCTTTCGAGGCCTTTATGAAAACCCAGATTTGTCTGTAAGTGATATTGTGTAAAAACCCTCTGACAAAACAAAGAAGTCCCATTCTTTGGGAGTAAGATCATCATGAGCTTCTAATACCTCCGTCTGGTTTGAATGAACAAGGGCCCCCTCTCGCACAGTTGAGGGGCTAGATGTCTGAATTCAGCTCAGTGGCTCCAGGCACGGTTTCCTCGCCGCTGGCTCCGGGGGAAGGAAGACCCTGTGTCCTGTCAGCATCTGTGGGTCCACAGGCCCTGGACAGCAGGGGGTGTCTCGGCCTTGTTCCTGCCCAGGGTCCCCACATCTGCGTGGGTGTGGAGCTCACTCCTGGCTCTCCTTGGTGGTATCCCCTGGCATCGACTTTGAAGGGAACGCCCTGATTCCGGCTCCCTGGGGGTGGGGTGCAGTTTTACTCCCCTTTAGGGAGTGACTTTTGGGGGTAGACTCTTGATCTCACCGCCGTCCCTGAGTGGCAGGTCTGAGGGCGGCAGGGCGTTCTCCAACTTGGGAGTGTGCTGCATCCACCCCGTCGCCTCCGGTGTTGTAGGACGCCGTGAGGACGTAGAGGGCCGTTCCCCGGGTGCCCGGGTGCCTGTGCTCGGTCTGCCGGGCACACTGGAGCTGCACCATTTCCGGTTGATTCCCATAGACTGTTCAGGGATGCGTGGCTGGTAGGTTAGAGTTGGAGAGATGACCTCTGGTGGTGCCGGGGCACGGCGATACTGAATGACTTCACCGGCGAGCACCCACATTGGTGGCCGTGATGAAGTGTCCTCCT